ACACACACACACACACAGAGTATTGTGTGTGGGGGGGGCGGGGAGATAGATAGATAGATAGATAGATAGATAGATAGATAGATAGATAGAGAGAGAGAGAGAGTGTGTGTGTGTGTGTGTGTGTGCGCGTGTGTGTGTGTGTGCGCATGTGTATGCGCGCGCGATTCCAAGATCGCCGCGCGAATGTGTGTGTGGTGTGTGTGTGTGTGTGTGTGCACGTGGTGGGTGGCGGGGGGGTGGGGCGACTCCTCCCCCCCCACCAATCAATCAATCAATCAATCAATCAATCAAACCCCTTTTTTTTTTTTTTTTAATTTTGCATCTGCATTTTTTCAAAACACCTCATACTTCTGGAAAAAAACATAAATTCATTTCTTAAAAAATACAGGTAAACTCACGAACCATATATCTCATGATGAAAAATGACCAAAAAAAAATCCTGCTTTTCTTTATATATTTTTTTTAATTTTGTTTAAATCGATTTTAGTTTTTGATTTTTTAAAAATCTTAAACAAAGTCGGATTCCAAAAAAAAAAATATAGGAGTGTAGGGTATTTTTAGCCCTACACGCCCATATATATATATTTTTCATGCATTAAAAAAAAAAAATCTTGCACCGAAGTCGGCTGGTCGGCCTAGGCCGAACCCGGCCTATTCGGCCATCGGCCTAGGCCGCGGCCGACTTGGACCCCCCGGCCCCAGCCGGGCGTGCAACATAGCTATACAGAGATATAGTTGCTCTCCTGCAGATCTGCTATCATGACATACCCCAGAATCTAGCGCAACAAGTTTATAGATCTCTATACTTACTCTCCTGCAGGACTGCGTATTGAAGATCCCGGAACAGTTTTGCATCTGAACTCACTGCCATCCTGCCAGCATTGCGTACCCTGAAACCAGGGGATTGATGGGGCAGGTAAAAGGATGCACACGAGAGGATTTGACAATACAACCCTCGTTGTCTTGGTCCGACAGTGCCGCTGTCTTGCTGATCCCGAAGGTGTGAGACCTCCTATGCCGCTCCGTACCACTGTAGATCCACGATAGAGAGGCCATGGGGTGGAAAGGGATCGGGGAAGTCATCAGGAGGACGCAGAGGAACCGCAGCGTCTACCTTGGTCCAGTCGTTAAAGCAGATACCAACCGTAGTCCCTTCTGAGCTTGTCACCACCGCCTTCCGGAGACTGTCCTCCCTCACATCGAGTGTGGGCTATCCTGCCATCCCTCCCCAGCCATTCCCTGGAAAATTGTTTAATGGCTTGCAGTGTGTCATTTTTCGTTTGAAACAGATCAAATTTTGCTTACACACTTTGCCACTGCGCCATGATTTCTTCCTGAATATATTGCTCAACCATTTCGGTGACTGCCTCCCCCTCTATTCTGACTCTTTCAATCGTGTGTATGCACCGTTTCCGCCAAAGGGCCCAAATGACAGCTCTCCTCCCCGTCCTGATGAACATATTATTTTCAAAGGGACAGTCTGTGGGAGAAGACCAGGCTTCACATAGGAGGGCTCTTCACATTACGGTTACGGTGTGACGAATGGGCGTCAGCAGGAAGAAGGGCCAAGGTCTTGGTTCTAGTCACACGTGTCCAAGCTAGTTTCGGCGGTAATAACAATTATTGTATCACATTGTAAGCACACTTCGGCTGCACTTATCCAGTTGTGTAAGACTGTAGTCAGCCGTTGTTAAGCATGCTTACTTATAATTGCTGAAGCTGTGCGTGGCTGCAGATCAGGGGCAGAGCTATGCTGGGCAGTTGCCCGAACTTGCCCGGCCAGGCACGCCCGGGTCAGCTGTGCAGTTGCCCTGCTGAATGTGGGCAAGGGGGGAGCGCACACTCGGCCAAACCCGGGGGGAGGGCACACTTGGCCAAGCCCGGGGGGAGGGCACACTCGGCCAAGCCCGTGGGGAGGGCACAGTCGGCCAAACCCGGGGGGAGGGCACACTCGGCCAAAACCCGGCAGGTCAGAGAAAGCTGAAGATCCCAAAAAGAAAAACAGACTTCAGGCCAGGACCGTGCTTGGGGTGAGCAATCAGAATGCAGTGAGTGACTAGAGGGGTCTAAAAGGGTATCTCTTAACTCATGTTTTTTTCTGTACTTCGATGGGCCTCGCCGCACGGCACACGAAACGAAAAACGAAACGAGTGCATCTTCCCGCAGAAAATGGCCAGGTTCATCCGTTTGCTATGAATAGTAACGAGCGTATGTTGCCACCTTCTGTGGGCAGATGCACTCGTTTCGTTTTCGTTTCGTGCGCCGTGGGGCGAGGCCCTATATACTCTTACTAAAGTGTATATACCCAACAGAAACTCCTACGTTCGCATCTTGATTTTGCTCACGTTCGAAAACAAACACATAGCAAGGCAGGGATACAGTTCTTCTGTTTTTTTTTTCTGTCTTTTTCTTGGTTTGTGTATGTTGGAAGTGGTCGTTCGAAGCCTCACCCGCTACCCTCCACATGCACAAAAGACAAAAAAACGTTTGGCGGTGTATCTTTCCGTGTTCTAGAGTAGCATTAGTGCCTCTCTTTTCATGGTTTTCTTGGGCAGTAGTGGGCCCACGGCCTTTGCACGTCGTTTCCTTTTTTTTAGGTCCTTTTCTACCCTGCTCCATGACCCTCCAGATGCACAAAAGACAAAAAGAAGTTCGGCAGTGTATCTTTTCGATGTTCTAGAGTAGGATTCATTTCTCTTTTTTTGTGGTTTTCTTGGCCAGTAGCGGGCCCAGGGGCCTGGACCCACTACGTCCGATTGACGCTTGTGGTCCTCCGTTTTCGACCATGTGCGGCCGTCCGCAACATCCGTCAGTCGTTGATCCAGTAGCATGTCGACTGCTAGTGTCGATTGTCTTTGTTTTCGTGGAGGCAGCTGCCTATTGGCCAGTAGAATTTTTTTAAAATCATTTGTTGGCCATTTAGTTGGCAAGTTTGCATTGGCGTGAAGCTTCAACTTCAATACTATGGTTTTTTTTTGGGGGGGGGGGGGGGGGGGGGGGGGGGGGTGGGCCTTTTTTTTTTTTTTTTTTTTTTTTTTTTTTTTTTTTTTTTTTTTTTTTTTTTTTTTTTTTTTTTTTTGGGGGGTTGTTTTTGAAGCTTCGCGCCTTGCTATTTTTTTTTTTGCAGAATTGAGAATATTGAGAGTTCCGTGGAAGACTGCGAACACGCAGGCGGGAAGCTCGCATGCAGATGTACCGGGTTGGTGGAAGTGTGGATGCATAGGGTGTACTGTCATGATGTCGATGCTGGGTCCCGTGATTTTCCATTTTTTGGGTTGTTTTCTGTGCTACTGCCTTAATGAAAAATAGCATTGTTTATGCGTTTTTTAAATGAGAAAAGAACGCCACACACCGTTTTGAATGATGCCAGTGGGTCGAGGCCCCAGGGTCTTTGCTCCGCGACTCTCCACATGCACAAAAGCCATATACACCACCGATTTCTCTTTTGTCTTTTGTGCATGAGGGGCACTCGCCCCGTGACATGGCCCTCTGGGGTGTTTCATCTCATCCCCGCCTCCGGCCCGCGGCTTGGCTGCGGGGGGGTCCGAACGCAAACACGGTGATACGTAGGAGGGGACCATAAGCCCAGAGTTGTTTGTAGTGCGATTTTACACAGCATTGTTTTTTCGGTTTTTTTTTTTTTTTTAATTAATTTCTCGATCTTTTTTTCTTACTATCATGTGCTGAGACTGCCCGGGACCGTGCTCGCACCCTGCCCGCCCCAGGCCGCCCGGGAGGGCACCCGGGTGACCTTTCCTCAGGGGGTCCCCTGGGGAGCAGGATGGGGGCAGACGCTGCTCAACACGAGTGGCGAGCAGGTATCACAGACCAAAGGCACATGAGGTCCTGTGGGGAGTGGTTTCCATCCATGCATGTGACTGTGTAGCAACAAGGTCTGTGCTGGCAGATATGCCATGCCATTTCGCATCGCAGACCTCGACGAGATGATTACAAAGTAGAAATAGATTTTTGGAGATATGACAAGTCGGTTTATAACTTTATATATAGAATATGCTCGTCCTTTAGGCTTCAGCTCCAGGTTTAAATCTGTTGTATGGTTGTGCCTTCATCTGCTTTAGCGTCATTTGTAAATAAATATTTTTTTTCTGAGGTCCTAGGTTATGGTTTGCATTAGGGAGTCTGACAGTGCTAATAAAAAAAAATAGAAACCTGGGGGAGGGGTTCCACCTGTGGATATATCTGAAGGCTGTTGCCCTTTAGAACACGAGAAACATAAAATAGGAAGCATCTCCTGTGCTACCTTTCTCAGCCTTTTTGCTACTCTGATCTGTGGGCCATTGGGAAAAAAAAAAAAAAAAAATTCCTGTACTCTACCATAGCCCAGGACCACTTGCCCGCCCGGGCCCCGCCCCCAAAAATAAAGAATTTCGTTTTTTTTTTTTTTTTTTTTTTTTTTTTTTTTTTTTTTTTTTTTTTTTTGTACAGGAGTTTGATGTGACCCTGCGGCAAAAGTTGTTCAGTTTTCTGCATAACTGTTTGTTTTTTTTCTTCAGAATTTGTCTAGGCTACCAGAGTGGCCCGGGGTCACTTGGCCGGCCGGGCCAAAAACAAACAAAAAAAAATACATTTTATTTTTTAGTCTAAATTGGGTGAAGAATGTAGATGTGACCCTGAGGCAAAAGTTGTTCACTTTATTTTTCTGCATAACATAGTTTGTTTTCGGATTTTTTTTTGCATAACATAGTTTTTTTCGGATTTTTTTTTTCTTTTTCGCTGGGACCTTCCCTGGACCTTGCACGGGCTGGGCACCCGGGACCCGGCGGCCCGGCTGGTAGCCCAGGAATTTGTGTTTTTTTCTTTTGTTTTTTTTTTGCTGGGACCTTCTATGGTCCTTGCACAGCCGGGCAGCCCCGACAAACGCGGTGCCCAGAGCTACCGCGCTGGTAGCCTAGCCTAGCCTGTACTTTTTTTATTACATGATAATGACTGTTATCTTCCTTTCTCTGTCTGGCTGGCTGGCTGGTCTGTTTGTCCTACAGCTTGATGCGCTCTTTCGTGCGCTCGGATTCAGTCAGAAAAAAGCCGATGGCCAGGTCCGGTGGGGAGTTCTAAACGTTGTGACTATTTTAAAGAGGCATGCACAGCTGCACACCGCTCTTGGTCAAGCTATGCTGGCAGGGAAAACTGTGGGACAATGTATAGCTCTTATAGAAGACGACCTCTGTAGAGTGCCTACAATCTGATGTGTTTTACAATGGTCAAGGCTTCAAGCTATTAATAGTACATCTCAGAAATGCACATTGTACTCTCTCTGTGTATACAATCTTCTAGAATGTAGCGTAATCTATATCGTTTGTTGTCCTCTTCTCCCTCTCTGCCTACGGTTTACCGGGCAGTTCTGTTTGACGATATATATACATGTATATTTTTGTCACAGCCCCTCGTTTGTTGTCCTCTTCTCTCTCTCTGCCTACGGTTTACCGGGCAGTTCTGTTTGTGGCGATATATATAGAGCACAAAGCCAACGCATGTGGCACCTCTTGACTAATTTGGTGATTTTTCAGTATCTAGACAATGTAGTGATCGAAGCCCGCTAACTATAATTGTCTGTCTTTCGCCTCTCACTGTGCGTTTGTTCTATTGACGTTACGTAATCTGAAGTGTTAAAGATTATCTGGCGGCCTTGCAAAAGGAGGACACTCACTTCGAGCTGGAATGGCTCGTGGACTTTTTGAATTTCTCCTCCACTTTATTGTGATTCCTTCTCCCATGCCCAGAAAGCAATTCCCATAAACAGTGCGGGAAGGGAGAGAGAATTCTGCCTGGGATCCACTACAGACATGACCATACTACTACCCCTGCACCACACAACTGCCACAGCGGGGTCATAGCCACCATGGGGGCTAAAAGCCAAGCAATCCCCTTGTGTGTGTGTGTGTGTGTGTGTGTGTGTGTGTGTGTGTGTGTGTGTG